ATTTACATGACAATTCATAACAGTAGCAAAATGACAGCTATGAAGGAGCAACAAAAATAATTTTACGGTTGGTGGTCACCACCACATGAGGAACTGTATTAAAGGGTCGCGGCATTAGGAAGGTTGAGAACCCCTGTCTTACACCATCCTGATACAACTGGGCTTCTCACCTTTACAAAGTTCAATACTGTTTCTCCTCGACTGTCTGACTCAATTTCTGTAGAGGCTTTCCGAATGTTTTAGCTATTATTTACCAGAACATTCAGTTTCTAGACGAATGAGCTCCCATCTTCCACTGCAATCTGGAACTTGGGGCAAAACGAATACCTAGTGGGAACACCAACCCCTTAGACTGGTTTCTCGAGACCCTGGCGCTGTGAGGACCATGGCTAACGGACTGACCGGAAGATCGAGAGATCCTCTGAGAACTAAACGCTCTGCAGGCAGGACGCTGGAAAAGCCCATCCGCGAGAGGGTGTTTTCATCTAGCACAGCATGTTCCTTGGCATTACATGAGATGTAACTCTTTATGGGAGAGGGAAGCCTCCTCTTTCTCCCGAGGAGCGGCTGGTGGTTGCAAACTGCCGAGCTGACGGCTAGCATTCCAAAGTGTGGTCCATGGTGCAGAAAACATCTTCATTGATACCATAATCCAACTGCGTCCATATTCTTCCCTGGTCTTCCTGATTCTCCGCCAGCTTCCACGTGCACGTGAGATGACTGAACGGGCCACGGCAAGAGTCAGGATCACCTCAGTCTCCCACGTGGCGCCCCTGCTCTTTAGCAGTGGTCAGAGGGCTTCTGCCACACGCTGGCCAGTGCAACCCACGATTTTGACCGCCGCATCGCTGCGTCCGTGGTGGTGTTCATGAAGGATCCAAGTAAGAGGGAATTCCGGACAATGTCCATCTCTTCTCCATTGAGCATGATGGGCGTTCCCGGTCTAGTTGTGGAGATTTTCTTGTTCTCTGTTTACTGACGTTGGATCCATTCGGAAGGCTGCAGAACTGGGAGTGGGCTCACCAGCACTGAGCTGGGCGGTGGCCTGCTGCTACCCATAGGGGGTCAGTGGCTTGTCCTTCGGAAGTGGTCTGCCTCTCCCTCATGAACAGTCTGCTGTAGCCTGGAACCGCTGCTAAAACCTGTCTCCCACAGGGGACCCTGCTGGTATTTGAGATCCTGGAGTCTTAGCTTCTAGCCTTGGGGCAACACAAAAGCCACCAGAGTAGCTCCAATGGACAGATGAGTAGTGACCTTGGCCTAACTAGAGTTTCTGAGACTCAGTTTCCCCATCTTTAAAGGAGGCTACTAATCCCAATCACCTCATAGGATTGCTTTAAGAATGAGATGAATTAACCCGGACAAGCATTCTGAATAGCGCCTCGGATTATTATAAGCGCTACCAGCTAGCTATTATTCCATCAATCCTTATGAAACTGCTAACATTCGACCATTCTGATGTCCCCAAACAGTCATTTCAGCAACCTAACATCACCATCACCGCCACGGGGCCTCCTATCGGCCCAGACTGAGGGACAGAATTGCTGAGGGTCCCGCTGTCACGGGAGCAGCCCGCCACTGTCACAAAGTCCTTGCGCACAGACACGCCTCGCGTTCCCTGCTCGGGTCTCAGGAGGGGACCCTCATCACGGCTCCTCCATGGTCAGTTCTCAGTCCCCTCTTCCAGGCAGTGACCCAGATGGCTGCTTGGCCAGGGAGCAAGCAGCAGGTCCCTTCCCTTCGCCCTGCGTCCCCTGACGCTTCCTTTTCAGCCCGCACAGCAGCCTGGCGCGGTTCACACAGGGAGGTGAAGATGGACCTGAGAGGCGGGCTCCGTGGGCTCTCACTTGCTTTTCCTGCTTCCCAGACCCGGGAGCACATTAGTCAGGATAAGGAGCTCACGGTGTGGAGGGTGAGGCGCTATATCCCATGTATCAATCTGTGTAATCCTCAGAACAGCTGTCGTAGGGGGAGGCACTATTGTCTCCAGTTCAGAGGGCCGAGCTGCTTGCTCTGGGTGGACAGCTCGAGGGGCAGGATGGGTCTGAGGCACTGGCAGTGAAGTGAAGACACTCTGGCGTAGCCCCTCCCTCATGCAGTGTAGCCCCTGACTGAAGGGGGAGGGAGGGTGATGACGCCCCTCAAGCCTCGCTCTTCTTCCCGGGCCTGCTGAATGGCCACAACACCCACTTTTATCTCTGCAGCTACTTCGGCTGGTCTGTCTTCACGCCACTCAATGGCAGCTTTCAGTACCCCCACCTGTCTCCCGGGACGGGGCTCCATGGTGTTTCCCGATCCTAGCCATTTACCGAATGACAAACGGCCCTTCGGCTGCTAGGATGGGTGTGCCTCTCTTCTCTGGAGAATCGGGCCTAAGATCTCACAGTGTGACTCGCTGCGACATGATGCTCTTTGGCCTTGTTCCTCACACCTGCGCCGAGCTTCTAGCTCTGTCCATCCCAACCCTGCCAGGCCTGCTGCTGCTTTTCCTGGTCACAGAATTGTGGGAGCAACTTGGGGGGCTATCCAGTCTGGCTGCCCATTCATTCTGTTTCGTCTGAAGTAGGGGAAGGGACCCCCACAGGTAGGATGACTGAGATGTGGACACAGCAGCAGACCACAGCCCGAGGCTCTTCCCTGGGTCCTTTTGGAAAGACCCCATCCATCAGGTAACCGAATGTGCTGCCCAGCAGAGACGAGCATCTCCTGGCCTGACGCAGCCGTGGGCTCAGAGCCCAGCACACCCTCGGCTCGGTTGCTTCTGTGAATTGCTAAGAGCTGTTCCGGGAATCCCCTCCACCTTCCGGAGCTAATCTGGGAAACACTATGATAACACACGAATGTCTGGGCCCAGCTCATGGTAAATGAATTACACGCTCCACCTGAACCACGTGATCAAAATTGGCAGCTCCCCCGGCACCTGGCCATCGCAGCCCCTCACCCTCATTGATCCCAGCATGTCACACACGCTGCTGGCGGGCAGAAACCGGGGCCCTGCATAAGCGGCCTGCAGCCACGCAACCGTCACCAGTGTCGGCACGTAGACACTGCTCCTTCCCGCTCCTACTTCTTCCAAAGCTCTGACTTGGGCAAGTCGGGGCCTACCCGCCCATCTCCCTGCTGCAAGGGCCTCTGTTCTATGGCCACCTACCACCAATTACAGAGAGGGCCTGCTCGGGAAGCCCGCAGAGAAAACGGCCCGGCCGTTCACTGGAACGGAGACAGACACTCCATCTTCTCTGGCTGCCCCCTACCCCACCCCGCCCAGCCTTGAAAAAAGAAGCGTGTGTCCATCCAGCCACCACCACTAACCTTCCAACAGTTCAGAAACATACCAATCCGGAGACCCGCGCTTCCTCCTCGCGCGCCGAGGGCATGAGCAGGCTGCAGGTCTAGCAACCTCTCTTCAACGCCCATTTGCCCCAGTTTGGAGTGGGGGGGGGGGGCGGGGGAAGAGGGCATTTACATCCGTCCTTCACAGTCCGCTCACCGGGCAGGGTTGGCTGCAGCATCGCAGCCAGGATTCCAGGTCACCGGGCCCTCACTGGCCAGTCCACTCGGTCTCTTCTGCTCCATCCACCTCTCCTCTGTGGCCTCCCTCCTGGAGGTGTGAGCCAAGGACAGGCCCCGCTTCCTCTGCACACTCACTGCCTTGGGCTGTCTCCTCCGGTACCCCCGACTTTACGTACCACCCAGCTCAGATGAGCTCAGGAAGGTGGAGGGGATTCCTGGAATGGCTCTCAGCAGCCCAAGCCTCGCGTGTTCTGTGTCCAGGCTATGCCTGGCTGCTGACCTCCAGACCCGAGGGATCTCTCTCTGCATGGCGAACTGCCTTTCAAATCCACTCTGCCCCCAACTGCGCTCTGGGTTGTCTCGGGTGCACCTGAGCCTCCCAGGGCCTCCTCATCCCGACCCGTCCTTTCTTTCCCTGCACCCAATTTGTCAGGAAGCCGGGCAGCTCTGCTTTCAAGATAGACTCAAAATCACCTGTCACACTTCCCACTGCCACCACCCTGGTCCACGCCACACCTGTCGCTCGCCTGGAAGACTTCAGTCGTCTTCCCTGGGGGGCTCCCTGCTTCTACCCTCGCCCACACCTCCAGGGAGGCCCGAGCAGATCCCGGCCCTCCTTTGCTCAAGACCTGCGCACGTCTTCTCCCTCGGTGTAGAAGCCAAGGTGCCTGCACTGGCACGAAGGCAGTGGTGGGTCCCTTGTCACCTCTGAGCTCACCTCTTCCTTCTGCATGGTTCTGTCCTGGCCACAGTGGCCTCCATCAGAGTACCTTCAACCACCAAGCACACCGGACACTCTTCTCCCCAGGCGGCCGCCGGGCAGGCTCCTTCCCCATCCCCAAGCCTTTCCTCACAGGTCACCTTCTTGGTGAGCCTACCTGGCCTGACGTAAAGTTGCGCCTGCTCCTTCCCTACCTTCTAGTGATGAATCTCCTTTACCCGATCCACGGCTTCATTCTGTGCCTCTTCCCACCTTCTCGTGCTCGTGTAAGCTCCCTGGTTTATGACATGGCCAGAGCAGTGGCTCTCAACCTTCCCCATGCCGAGACCCTTTCAGACAGGTCTTCATGTGGTGGTGACCCCCAACCACAACATGATGTTCTTTGCTACTTCATCACTGTCATTTTGCTACTTATGAATCGGGCGACCCCTGTGAAAGGGTCATTGCTGACCTAGAGCGTCAGCTCTGAGAAGACGCCTTGCTGCTTCATTTCCTGGCCTGCCCAGTGCCTTCCGCAGTGCACGGGCAGGCAGGACATGAACACCTGCCACCGGTGACTGGCTGGCCTGGTGCTGCCCCACCGAGGCCCCTTTCCTACGGCAAGAACCCTGACTCCTGACATCTTGCCAGCGGGGGCGGGGCCACATCTTCATCTTCATTGAAGCACCCGTTCCCCTCTGCACCTCCCAGCCAGCTACCTGAGGGGCAGCCCCTCAAGTGGGCGAATGCTCGCTCCGATGCTTGTTCTGAGGGCCTGGCCACTCACCTGGAAGTCCTCCTCGTCCAAGATCTCTTTCCTCCATTTGATCAAGAAGGCTGCACACACGTAGAGATGGAAGTGGGAGAATCCTTCTGGTTCCGACTGGGAAGGGAAAACACAAGTTAGAGGCTCTCAGGTTCTGACAAGGAGCTGGCGCCGGCCTTCCTAGAAGTTCCCGTCCTCCCGGGGGCGGGAAAGCAGGACAGCTTGCCGAGGGTGCCTGGGCCACCCATGCCCGTGACGTCAGTCCCTGCCCGTGATGCCGAGGCAGGGTGCCGGACACCACGGGCAGCCTGGCGCAGAGTGGTCTGGGGCCGCCCCGTACCTGGTATGTGTCCCACAGGCGGATGGTGCAGCGCAGGGGGAGCTCCCGCATGAGCAGGTTGTTCATCCAGCGAAAGGCAAACTGCAGGTATTCCACCTCGTACTTCCTGAAGTGCCTGTGCACCTGCTCTGAAACAGGAAGTGCGAGTGGTCCCAGGGCACAGGCGCCACACACTGGCCGTTTCACTTCGTTTCTTATCTCCCCGCCACCCGCGGGGTTCAGGTGGGGGTGATGGTGACTGGGGCACGGGGGGAGGGTGGGGGCAAATAAGCACCTGACTGTCCTTTGCGTTTGGTTTCCATACTGCAGAGCAACCCTGCCTGGTGGGTAGATGGGCACATTCCCCATCCCGGAACGATGCCACCCTCCCATCTCTGCGTGCGAGGTGACCCGCCCCTTCCCAGGGCTCTTCTGGCCCCAAAGCAGGAACCCTATGGCTCACTTGGCTGCCTACCCTTACTCCTCATCAGAGAAAGAGCCACAGCGCCTTGGAGGGCACCTTGGCCACTCTCCCACTGGTGAGGAATTCCTCTTCGGCTTCCTCGGCAGACGGCCGGCCAGCAGGTTCTTAAACACTGCTAGTGGAGAGGCTCAGCCGCCCCAGGCAAGTCCGTCCTCCACTGGTGCTGCCAGTGACCACCAGCTCGCCGCTACTACCTTCCAACCGCACACTACCCAGTCCCCGTCTACTTGTCAGCTCAGCGCTTCAAAGAGCTTAGCAGCCTTGTGTGTGTTTGTCTGCTTGTTTCTGGATCGCTATCCTCCCCGGCATTCCCGTCTATAAAATGAGGACAATCATTCTTTCCTCAGGGGGTCTGAGGACAATCCAATAAGAAAATACACGTATTGCCGTTAGAATAGCACCTGGCCGGCAGTAAACCCTCAATACACCTTTTTGGGAGAAGAACTATTAACCGTAATTACTTCCAGGGAGTAGGATTTCATGGAGGGGGAATTTTTACTTGTTACTAAAAATGAATAGAGAACTGTACGTTGGCAAGCCCGCTATTTTACAGCACCAAATCGTTAGTTTTCAGGCCTTTGTAAGGGCATAAGAAACACGTTTTCCGGCACATGAAACCTAGGATTGATGAACCTAGAGAGACAGCCAGTGGAATAAGGGTCCCCGGGGGTCCGGTGGGAGAGGAGAGGGTAAATGGGAGCTGATATAGCAGGGAGTTCAAGAAGGGAGAGAATGTTTTGAAATGGGCTGTTGTAGTAATTACAGAACCCTGCTTGAGGTGATTGAACTATGGGATGGTACGATATGGACATTTGCTCTCAATAAAATGGTTTGGGGGGAAGAAAGAAAAAAAAAAAGCAATGACAGGGCAGACATGGCAGCAAGCACAGCCCCTGCTGTCTGGAACCGTCTGAGTGCTGGGCTTGTCCTTGCCTGCCTGCTGCCTGGATCAATCTGCAGGACAGCGTCTTGAGAGGCCCAGACATGGGGGACGGGCGGGGAGCGTCACAGCTGGGCCAGGGGGAGAGAATACTGGAGACAAGAGACATCGCGTGGGCAGCGTAGATGCAAAGAGACTGGGAGTGAGCAAATTAGCTGGGGACTTGAACTCCTTAGTGGTCAAAGGCTGCTAGCGTGAGCGTGACAAATCAAGAAAGATTTTCAGGACAAGCGAACCTGGGGGAAAACAGAAAAAAGATGCACCTTGTATGGGAATTCAGAAAACCTGACTAGAGGGAGCAAACCCCCTGAGTGGGAAAAGCAGAAGGTGGTGAGGGGGACCAGCCGGTGCGTGGCTGGGAGAATCAGAGAACTGGGGCAGGAGCGACCACTTAGCAGAAGAGGCAACTTATTCCGACTTCTCTCCGTGGGCTTCTCTCCCAGAGTCCCGTGAGTTCTAATGGCTGTGACTCCAGGCCAGAGCCAAGGGAAAATGCCGACAATGCCTCCTGATCCGCAAAGACCTTGTGCTTCAGAAGTGTCGCCTCTGATCCCCGCATTCCCACGAGGTCAGAGGGCGCTGCTAGCACCCCACAGGCGGACTGGAGGGTCCTGCCTGGATCAAGCCTGGGAGCCCCGAGTTCCATCACCAGCTGGAGAACAAGGTGGGGTGTGGCGCTCAGAGCAACCCCAGAGCCACAGAAGAGGGCCGTGACGGAGCGGGGCTTCAGAAAGAGGAGCCGGGGGAGCGAAAGGGATGGTCTGGGAGAGGAAGGAGTGTGGAGCAGGCGGGTTCTTCAAGGGGAAGTTGGAGAAGCCCAGGGATGACGGGGCAGAGCCGTGGCTAGGGAAATGGGGAAGCTGGGGGAAGTGGCAGAGAGGTGCTGAAGGAAGAGTGACGGAGCAGTGACTGAAGACCCCAGAGCGAGGGGAGTTGGAGACATTAGCTGAGTTCTCATCTCACCTTCCTGTGGAGATGTGCAAGGATGGGCGTGCTGCCTAGAGCAGGGAGTAGACGAGGAAGGGTGATATGTAGGAGGGTAGCTAAGGAAAGCCCCCCACAAGCCTAACTGCTTCACGTCAGAATCGTACTGTGTAACTATATGGGAATGCCTCTTCCTCCGAACTTACCATCTATTCGACTGACAAGCTCTTCCAGGGCCCTGACCTTCTTCTGGATCCCCGGCTGTGCAAAGGTGTAGTTATCCTGAAAATGACACAATGTCCAGGGTAAGCGGGGGCACCGGGCAGTTGTGCTTCTACCCCTCGGGTTCACCGAATTGCACACGAAAGCACACACCACAGCTGGTGCCAATAGCTGCTGACCGGGATTTGGGGAACAAAGGAATCAACCCAGCATAAAGTAATCAACCCAGCATGAGAGCCTGGGGGCAAGCCTGGCAGAGCTACACCTGGTGGAGGTGGGTCCGTGTGGCTCACTGCGCAGCAGAGAGGAGGGCATCCTCTGAAGACATCGCAGCCAGGGCAACAGTGGGGAGCTCCGTAAATGCCAGGGCTGCTAGACCATCACCTTGGGAGAGCTTGCCAAGCCAGGACAAGGGAGAGAGATGGGCAGACCAGAAAGGAGGAGGAGGGCCACGCGAAGCATGTGCCCATCTGGTGAACAAGCATGATACGGAAAGCAAAGGCCTCCTGGGAGGTCCACGCAGGTGGGTGGGACCGGCTCACCTGGATTCCATCTAGCAACTTGCTCATGCACCAAAAGCTGTCGGCTTCAATGCTTCGCAGAATGTCCTGAGACAAGTTGGTCACATCAAAGTTCTCCACATCCTCTTCTGTAAAACAAAAGGTGAAGAAAGTCCAGAGGTCTTATCTAAAAAACGGAGAGAGAAAGATAGAGTCTAGTGTCTTCAAAGGAGTCCGTTAAGGGCCGGGGAGAACCACGCTACCCAGGTGCCAAGGGACGATGGGCTGCCCCTCTCCTCCCCGTGTCAGGCGGGTAAGGCGTGTCCCTGGAAGTTCATGAAGAAGGATTTCAACTCAACACGGAACGGGCCACTCGCACACCAATGTGCTGGCCCCAACATCTCTTTCCTGCCTCGGCACGTCTTCCTCCCATTTTAGAACAAGATCAGCCAGGCCCCCTGCTCAATCCCCGCAAGACGGTCTGCACAAATCCTGATTTCAGACGTTCAGCGAACCGTCTAGTGCCGCTACATGTAGTGGGGCGAGCTGGGATCAGGCAGCCCTCAATGGTTCATTTGAAGGAAGCGGTCCTCCAATCCTGAGAAGGCCGCCTCGCTGTCTCACCGCTCCCGAGTGAGGAGGAGGAAATGAAGAAGGCCCAAGCCTGTGGCTGTGTCTCGGACTGAACTCCACCAGGATGGACATCCCTGGGTTGGGCTCTGCAGACCACCAACCACAGTGGATGCCCAAGAGCGAGAGCTTCCCGAGACAGGCGTGGCTGAGGAATGCTGCAGCCCATGGCCCCAGCTCGGAGAGCCACTGAGAGCACAGGGCACAGTGTCTGCAATGTTGCCTAGCGTTGCGCCCGCACTTGGCACACCTATCCACGGATTCTGTGTATCTGGCATAGTCCACGCCTGCTCAGCCATGGCTCCTCTCTTAAACAGAATGAACAGCCTATCCTTTTCCATGGAAACTCCCACATTCAACAAGAGAGAGATGTTCCTCCCTGTTCTTCCTACCGGAGGAAAGAGGACCCAGGAAGAAAGGATCTCCTTGTTCCTGGGGTAGGCTTCTGCAACCCACAGGTCACTGCACACCTGCCAGAGGTCACGCACAGACACGTTCAGACCTTGAGTTTGGCAGCAAGGGCAGCTTTCCTCCTTAGACCCACATGCCCAGTACACATACAGTATTTATGTAAGCACAGAGGAAAGATGAAATGCAACTATATGTGACCTTCTCTCTGGGGGACGGACAACGGAAAAGTGGGTGAGGGGAGACGTCGGACAGGGCAAGATATGACAAAATAATAATTTATAAATTACCAAGGGCTCATGAGGGAGTGGAGAACGGGGAGGGAGGGGAAAAATGAGGACCTAATGCCGGGGGCTTAAGAGGAGAGGAAATGTTTTGAGAGTGATGAGGGCAATGAACGTACAAATGTGCTTTACACAATTGATGTGTGTATGGACTGTGACAAGAGGTGTATGAGCCCCTAATAAAATGATTTTTTAAAAAAAAGAAACTATATGAAAAAGAACATTAAAAAAAAAAAAAGATGAAATGCACCACAGGCTTAGGTTGCTTATTCCTAGGTGGGGTAAGCAATTTTTTCCTTTAAGACTTCAAAAATTCTAGAACCATAATTTTTACAATGAGATTAAAAAAAAGGGGGGGCACGCTACTTTGGGGTTAAAAAAAAGAAAAGTCATGTGTCCGTGCCTGCCTTTTAGCACCCACCAGGAGCAGCAGATTTCGACAGGAGGCTCGCAGGAACTCAGAATCCAGGTCATCTATGTACGCACCTTAGCGATATCCTTTCGCGTTTTCCTAAGGGAAACCCTTACTAGACGGTGTTTTGGGGCGGCCACACACGGCACTGTGAATGCAGCTACTGATACTGAGCTGCCACAAGCAGCTCCGGTGTCCTTTGTGTTTCGTGGGCTAGTTCTGAGACCCTTCAGTGCTGTGCCTGCACCCAGTCCACTGCTTCGTCCGCCCCCCAGGATGGAGACCCAAGGTCCCGCCGACTCTTAGCACCACAACAGTGCCACCAAAACTGCTGTGGGTCACAAACTTAGGTGGCTCTAACTCAGCTGGTCCCGCTGGGCCTTCCCAGCATTTCAGAGCCGGAGGAGGGCTGAACTCTACTTTTCTGCCTACTGGGAGGCAGGAATTCACACAGCCAGCCAGTCAAAGCACCTCGTGCGGAGTCCACAGCCCCAAGCTGCAGAGAAAGGCCCTCGGGAGGGCTTCCAGCAGCACACACCATCTTCAGAAGGATCATAGGACGGCCCACTGGAAGGCGTCCAGCATGTCACTGAGGGCAGTGGTGCCACCTCCAACAAGGGCCAAGTCTTCGGTGGTCCTTACTGGGCAGCTGGGGCGATGGAGCTTCAAGGGACACTTTACGACCCTCTTTAAGTAGCAAAGCATCCAGAAAGAAGAGAGGCGAAGCTCCTCATAAGAGCCTAACTGCCCACTTTGGGTTTGACAAGAACATGCCCGTCTGTTCGCTGACAGATGGACGTGGAGTGGCGGGCCAGGCCAACCATGTTTTCTTGAGACTCCGAGTCGGGGCCAGAATCGGCCTGCAGTGCCTGCAAGCTCACGGGCAGTTTGGTGACACTGGTTTTGCTTAAACTGATGAGGAGCTTGACCGCTGACTGCGCTAACAGCTTCCCGGGGCACCCATCTGTGACCCCGGGGAGACGTCTAGGCTTTATCGTCCGACTGGCTGGAGCAGGCGTGCTCAAACCTTAGATTGTTTCTCTTTCCAATGCCTCCGCTTTCTCTGACTCTGCCTTTCTTTTTCCTCTTTCTCCCAAGCCGGACTCACTAGAATACCTAGCATAAACAACATCTTGTGACCACAAAAGTAAAATAGGATCAATCTTTTCAGCCATATGGCTAAAGAACTTCAAAGCGCAGAAGGGTAACCATTTCATCTGGGAAAGGCGGTTTAGGAAAGGCATCGAGGTAGTGCCTGGTGGTCCGGGTGAGCATTCAGTGGCTCCTGCGGTGTATCAATCGGTTGCTGGGGGCGAGCTGTCTGGCACTTGCAGATGAGTCTTCGGTGGGAGCAGCTGTGGCAAGACCCCCACCACAATCTGGAAGAGGATGGAGAGGCCAAGCCAGCTGCCTGACAAGACAGGAGGGTGAGGAGCGCGGGCGGCTCTGAGGAGAGGCTGCTGATCCAGGGAGAAGGCCGGAGCGAACACTAATTCTCCAGTGGCTGCAGGGGAGAGACCCGGAGGGAGGCGGTTCTGTTTCTGGCGGACCATGTCTCAGAACTGCATCAGGAAAGGCGTGCTGGGCTGAAGACGCAGGCAAGCCGTTAGCTCTAGAGCCCTTCCTGACCCTGTGCCTGTCAACCAGGGGAGGGACCACGAGGCACACATTCAGCTGGACTTCGAAGAGAAGTCTGGCTGTACACTACTCAGCCAGGGGGTAGCCCGAGTGGATCCGTGTGGTACGAGGCCCTGGTTAAAATGAACTTACTAACCAGACAACCACTGACTTCACTCAGGTTCCTGTACTACTGTTTTCTCTTATAAACAGCTAAAACGGCGGGGGTGGCTGACTCAGCCTTTTGGGCCTGGATGCAGGACCCCAGGTTCTGTGAGCGTTCAGGCTACGGGGGCAGCAGGAAAGCAAGGCCCAGCACACTTATATTCTAGGCCCCCGCCCAAAGGCCACCCACGGAGACCATGTCCATCGGTTATGCCACTGTCCCTCGCAGAGAGGCTCCTCACCGAGGCCCAAGCACGTGGAGTGTGTCGGCGACCTCGACTTCCACTCTGTTACCGTCCAATGAGGACAGCTCCCCGGCTCACTGCTGGCGAGAGAGCAGCTAGGTCTTGCGGTCCCTGAGATGACAAGCCACAACTTGCCCTGGGACAACGGTCTCCTCTCATGATACAGGGCACCCAACATTGGACACCCCACCGAGAAATACACAACCTGGTGAATGCAATCAATGCCACAGGATTATATGCTCAAAATGGCAAGTTAAAAACAATAAATCAAAAGATTCACTGGCATCTCATTCACATGCCACACAATTAAACAGTTGCGTCAAGTTGAACTCTTAAACCGCTGCGGCTCCCAAGCGGCAGTGGGACACGGCTCCGGGCGTGCCGCCTCAGAGAGGCTGCTGCTGCTGCGGGCAGAGCCCCCGCCTGCTCCCCAGCTGTCCCACGCGCTCCGTCTGGAGGGCAGTGTGAGGACAAGGACGGGCTTCCCAAAGGGCTGGGCGCTCAAGAACTCCCCACCCACCGCTCCTTAATTCCTGGCAAACCAACAGCATTGCCGTGGAAAGTGAAACACCCTAACCGGGTGATTTAATTATATAAGGTTTAGAAACAGGTAAAACGAATCTGAGTGTTTGCTGGAAGCCAGGAAAGTAGATACCCTTGCTGTGGGCGGGCGGGGGTCTCGGGCTGCCAGCTGACGGGACACAGCGAGCCTTTGGAGGGTGGAAAGGTCCCAGGTCTTGGTATGGGTGCTGTGCAGACCGGCCTGCTTCTTTGGGGGAAATGCGCTTTCCTAATGTCTACCCCCCTTCACTATAAAGCTGACCATTAAAATAAAACGAGACAAAAAGGGTGGTCGAGGGAAGATGGTGAGTCGCAGGGAAGCCAGCCTGGCCACCCATCAGAAAGTGAAAGCCACTTGCCACAGAGCCGTCATCCCCTCCCAGGGACCCACCCCTCAGGCACAAAACAGACACGGGTCACCAAAGGTCAAGGCAGGACTATTCAGAAGAGCTAAGAGGCCATCCACAGATGAAGGGACACACAAAATATTATCAAACATTAAAAACGGGGTCCTGATCATACTACAACATGGATGACCCTTAACCATTGCGCGGAGTGAAATCGGGCCGGCACCAAAGGACAAATACTGTACACTCCTACTTATGTGAAATGTCTAGAACAGGCAAATGTAGAGACCGAGTTTATGAGGGGCTACCAGGAGCTGGGCGGTGGGAAGGGGCAGAATGGGGAGCTATCTTTTAAGGGGTGCTGGGTTTCTGTTTGAGGTGATGAAAAACGGTGATGAAATGGGGAGTGGTGATAATTACAAAACATGGTGAATACAATCCATGTCACCAAATTGTATGGTTAACATGGCAAGCTGTTTA